CACCCCTTACTGCCTCTAGTGAAGGGGCCTACTCACCTCTGCCTGGAAGCAGAATAATCAGCAATCACAGCTCATGCGTTTGAGAGTCGTGCTACGCCAGGACCCCCCAGTGGGAAGCGAGGCCCTCGAATAAAAGGAGCATTTTTTTCTGGGACTCCCTGAACAGCGGGGCTCTGTGCCGAGCCTCGGGTCACCGTGACCCTCGCAGATCAGGGTGATCAGGTAGAAGTGGATGCTGCACACCTCTCGCAGGCCCTTACGGGTCCCAGCTTACTGGTGTATCTGTCCATGGATCCAGCAGCTGCTTGAAATGTGTATACAATGACTTATTAATGTTCTGTTGTTTACTTGTAATTTAATTCATTTATACACCTGGATATTTTATAGGAGTAAAATAACAGGAACAAATACTCAAGTAATTCAGTACAACGCTCAACAATAAAACAGCAAAAGCCCTACTAGGGTAGACAGTGTCAAAGTGAAACGTCTATATTTTGTTTAATATTAGGGCGATGATTTACTTATTATGCCTTAAATCCATCCATCCATCCAGCCATCTGTTCACCAGCCATCATACCACTTATCCAGGGAAAGGTTGCAGAACCTAGAACCTGATCCAGGAAGCATAGAACACATACCCAAACATTACAGACAATTAAGACTTAACTGGGCACATGGTTTTTGGAATCCCACATGACAGGGGGAGAACATACAAACTTCATACGCCCACACACTGCCAGGGCCAGAATTTAACCCCCCTGGGCTGACCATTCAGCCACCATGCTACACAAGAGGGGTCTAGCAAATAAAGGCGTGCCTGGAACCGCAGACCGCTGAACGCACCTGAACACAGTGTGAAAAATACCGATAGAATTCGGGCTTTCATGAATAGTTTTATCGGTTTGCGTTAAATTATTTGTAGGTCATGTTCCATGATTGTTCGTCACGGCATTTCTTATTGATGCCCCCTCAGATGCGCGGTCTATGCATGGCACATGCCCCTCCTGAAGCGCGAGACAGCGCCGACAGACTGACAGACAGCAGCAGTGAAGTGTAGTAATAATAATAAGAGTTGATGACGGAGTCATAAGCCTTCGGGGGGGGGCGGCCGAGGAGGGGAACTCAGTCATTCAGTGCATTTGTCATGTCGCGTCCGGTCGATCGGCTCAGACAGCCCAGCCCCTGGCTTTTAAAAGGGCACCGGGTGGCTCTGGAAAACAGCCATGTTCAGCTCCCGTGAATTTTCTCCCTTTGATGGTTTCGTTGTTTACCTCTTCACAGTGCACTTATGGATAATATAGCTCTCGCAGCGAACGCTCCCGTTTTACCGTCGCATTAATTTGCTTGATTCGCTTGGCTTAAGGCTCACATTTACCGTGACTCCTATTGCCGCCGTGGCGAGACGCCAGTACAGCCTGTCGATTGAACCACAGAGCCAAGATACACGGCCGAGATTTAGATAGGAGCTTCTACGGACAGAACATCCAGAACCATTCAAGAACAACACACAGAGGTATTACTGTTACCGCCGGTCATGATGGAGGTGTAACGAACGGAATACCTTTCCCGCGTGGTGGCACAGTGTCCGTGAGGGAATGCATGCGCTTCAGCTGGATTGACCTCTCTAAATGGCAGCGCCTGATTGTGTTTTTATCCACCCATCCAGGCTGTTCATGGTGATTCTTGGGATGGGATCCCAGCTCACCAGGTTCTTGCACTTGAGAAACGTGGAACGTGCATTAAAAAAAAAAAAAAAAAAAAAAGATTATATTGCGCCAAAGACAGCGATTATGTGAAGGGAGCAGATAGCAGTGATGGACTTTACTCTGATGTGTTTCTGGGTCAGCATGCACCAGAAAGTGAAACCAGGTACCTCAACATGTTATTATTACTAATATTGATAATATTACTAATATTATGATATTAGTTTGAAGCAGACGTCCGAGGGTCTCAGGACCAGCTCACCGCTGTAATTTCCGTCCCCTTCCCCCGCCCTGCTCTCCCATCCTTCAGAGTAATACCTCCACGTGCATCTCTTTGTTTGCGCTTTTCTGTTTACAGCTGATTTCTTAATTTATTAGGCTTCACTGAACTGCTGACAGAATCGTGATCTAAATTCGGCGTCCCCTGACAGCCATTTGCGCGAGGGCTTTGTCAAAAGCGTATTGTGGCAGCCGCATTAGTGAAAATTAGAAAATTAAAGGGCACATCAGCTTCCTCTCCGCTCGCTCAAGGAATGCGCTTTTCTAAGGCCTTGCAGGATGAATAATTTGAGCAACTAACTGATGTTACTTAAGCAGAATATCAATCCGGTCCGCTGATATTTACACAGCGCTAATATGCGAATTGTCTGCTATGTTTACTTCAGTCTTTACTAAACGCGGGTGTCCTGAATGCAAAATGGTGAGGGAGTGTATGTTTGTTTTGCACTTTTTCCTGAATCTTATTGCATTTTTCAATTAAAACCCTGAGGCTTTCTCTTGCATGCAAAAAAAAATCTGACAGCCAATCTTTTCATGGTCTGGCTGCCTGTTTTTTTTGAAAATTAGGTTCATTTTTGAACTTGTGATGAGTCTCAACGCTGCCCGTGTCAGAAGTGAGGGCCCCCCGCGGTCTTCCCATCATGCTCGGCAAATTCACTTGCCTTCGATGTGGTCGTTCCCCCACAGGTTTTGTTTATTTGCAATGTCGGGACGTTTGGCTGCAATGGAGACACTTTTATATTTAGGTTTGTGGCATCTTCGTTCAAAATGTGAGAGCTGATTTTTGCAGGATGTAAACTTGGTTTATTTAGTTTTTGGCTTCTTTTGGGAAACAGGTTTGACATGATCCTAACCCCTTCAGATGCAATGCAGTGCATTGGTCTATTTGTTTGCCGTAGATATTGTGTTTCGTACATGCAGTTCAGCCTGTTAATTTACTGCCTGGGGTGTGTTGCCTGGGCCTGTTAGTTTGCAGTCTGGGAGACATCACACCTACATAGACTGGCTTGTTTACTGTATGTGATGCGTTACATGAACAATGACCTGCCCTGACTGAACATGCCCCTCAAAGACATTGAAAACATGAACAGAGAAGCTCTTAGAAGCAGTGAATCGAAATGTAACATGCCAGCCCCACCATGGGGGAGCCCCGCTCGGCGATGACCTCATTCGATCCACCAGTCACACCCCCCTCCCACCCCAGCCTCAAGAAGCTGGGGAAGGTCACACGTTTAGGGATAAGGATATGGACTGGGGG